CTGTTTATTATTGTTACACACACACACACACACACACACACACACACACACACACATATATGTAACTAAAACCCCTTGTGTCTGTTTAGTGTTACTTGTATGCAATGCTTTTAGGCCTGACCATTGGGTAACTAATTTGGGGACTCATTCAAGGGGAAGACAAATGCTTCCTCTCACAGCAATTGTCAGTTGCCTGTAGGTCTAGAGATGGGCCCAAGAAGATCTCCTCTTTCCACATCAGCATGGTTCTGTATTCTGCCTGATATCTCTCGTCTCTGTTTTTGAGATAATCTCCTTTTCCAGTGCTAGCTGGCCTAGCATTCACTATGTCAATCAGACTGGTCTCAAGTTGTGGTGATCCTCCTGCCTCTGCCTCTCCAGAACTGAGATTACAGACCTGGTGCTTGACTTTTCTTATTTCCTCCCTTCCAGTGTTGATTTACACAAATTGTTTTACCTTTATCTGTTGCTTGCAACATTGTCCAAGCAAAAAATATTTACTTTCTTTTTGGCTTATCGTGTGAGTCCCTGAGAATCAAGAGGGAATGTGCTGAGTCATTTTCAAGGATTCTTCAAATTATCTTCCTTCTTTTTAAATTGTCAGAGATGATTGGTTAGGGCAAATGATCTAGGAATCACAGGAAACCTTATTCACTTACTTTGTGGTTCTTACACATACTAGGTGGGATACTACTATACCACATCTCAGTGGTGTTACAGTTTTGCCTTTGTCCCCAAACGGAGATGTTAGAAGAGAAATGCTCCTTTCTTCCCAGTCTTTTAGGAATGGGGTGGAGAGTATGGGCATGGGGGTACACCCAGAAACCCATGTTATCACTTTGGAGTGGTTCTTCACAACTCTATGTACAATAGAAAATGTGTATATGACACGAGAGAATTAACCTGTAGGCATTTTATTGATGTAGGTTGAATTTTTCCTATATAGCCTTTAAATTCTTGCAACACATTTAAGCCTCACAGGTACTTGTGTTTTCCTAAGCGTGGTTGCTGGTGACCTTAGAACTAGCTATTTGTCTAATCGTATACATATTAACGTGTTCTTTGGAATTTTAAAATCATGTCCATGTTCCACTTCTCCTCGGTATAGGCGGATTTGGTTCTTGGAGAATTATGTGGAATAAATGAGAACCGAACTATCAATCCTGCTGTGGACCAGTGCTGCAAGGCAGACTTCGCTTTCAGAAGGCACTGCTTTGAGCATCTGAAAGCTGACACAACCTACGTGCTCCCCTCGGTCTCTGCACTTGTATCTGCTGTGCATGCAGACTGGTGCCAGGCTCACCAGGAGGACCTTCAGGATAAGAAAGACAGGTACAAACTCTCTCCCGGCCCCTCCCTTCTACAGCGGGAAAGCACAGCTGTCTCGGAAAATTTACCATGATGGCTCCGTACTTGGGCTGATGCAATTTGTTCTGTTCAACAAATTATGTATACTGTTTCTAGCCACAAAACAACACTGTGTATTCATTGCTATTGTTTATAAGCAAACAAAGGTTATCCACCAGGCTGTCATTCGGAAAGACGGGGCAGGCATTAGCCTGAGGGTTACTGTGCAAATGAGCTAGATTTTTTTTTTTTTTGAGAAAGAATGATACGGATATTTTGAAATATTATATTTTATTTGTGTGTGTGTGTGTGTGTGTGTGTGTGTGCCTTTGCACACCCTCGCATGAAGGCAGTGAGTGACATGTGGCACTCACACAGACACGAGTTGAGAGGTCAGAGGACAAGTTGTGGCCGTTGGTTTTCTCCTCCCATCATGTAGGTTCTGGGGATGAAACTTGGGTCAACAGGCATGGCGGCAGGCACTTTTACCTACAGAGCCTCCTCACCATCTTCATCGGTATGGATTTTTGTCTTGAGAATGAATTTCAGTGTTTTCAAACAGGAGAGATGCAAAGGGGCAGGAGTTTTATTTTCACAAATGAAGACCCGTGATTTTGAATTTAAACACCTGTCTCTACCAAGTGTAATAGAAACAGCAATTAGCTACTGAGGAAAGGAAATTGATCTTTGGATATGAATCTTGTAGAACACCTACCATGTCCAGTAGGGTCCATTTGACTACACAGTCCTCAAAGAGTCCATTCTATGAATTAGAAAGTTTCCTCAGACCCTTGCAGAAATGGACTGTTTAAACTTTTTACACTCACCACATTTGAAGCCTAGGACATGTGTTTCTATAACAAACACTTGGAAGAAGAGCTACAGAGAGGAATCCCTCACCGACTCTGTTGGGTGTATTTGAACACAGGTTTATGGTCAACCTGGTGAAGTGGATGCCAGAGATAACAGATGAGGAGCGCTTATGTTTGTTCGCAAAGTTCACAGCTGCTGGGGAGAAATGTGGCCAAGTGCAGGAGCCTGAAGCCTGTTTCAGCCCAGCGGTAGGTAGGTAGTGTTCCCACTGAGAGTCCACAGGTGTCTCTGGAACAATGAACAAGAGAGAATTCTCTTTGGGATCTTCCTCCTCTCTGCTCAGGTCCAAGAGTCCTGAGTTTGAGAACTCAGTTATCACCAAACTAAACTTTATTAGATATCCATGATAGAAGCTTTCCGGCATAAGAAAAACTGTCAAGCAAACTTGGTTCCAAACCTTGCTGTCTTTTCTGTGTCGCTTAAACAAAATTACATCCATCATCTGCGTGTGAGTGGCAGGGGTGAGCACTTTCCTGATGATGGCCAGGTCCAGCAGAGGAAAGAAGGAATCAGCAAGGGAGGAGTGAATCAGGTACACGGTCAGGGGAAGCTTGCAGCCTAGCTGACTGACAGAGTGCTTATTTATACAGAACTCTGTAGACAGGGAAAGATACATGTTGTTCCAAAATATAGAACGTATAATTTTTGTCCCTGGACATGTGTTTTAACTTCCTCTTGGTCAAAAGTTTAGCCATCATTGATAAACCATGACAGAACAGAGTTTTTTTTTTTTTTTTTTTTTTTTTTTTGCAATCATTTCTCCTCATCAATCCCACAACCCAACTTTTAACAGTCTTGCAGTTTCAAGGGCACTAGACAGAAAGAAAAATCTCCAAGCCAGTCTGGGCAGATTGCCATGTCCCAAGCAGTGTATTATCAACTTTTAATGGTCAAAGTGCCAAGTGTCATCAGGCCCAGAAAAAGTCCTCTGGCCACAGCTGCTGCAGTTATTATTCAATTTCTGGCATAATAAGTTTCTATTTTATATATTTATAAAATTTGTTTGTCTAATCTTAATATTCTTTTGTTTCTTGGTTATATGACACTACAGTGATCCAGCATGAGCTAACTTATCTAAGAAAAGGGGGGCTCTTAACTCTTCATTCTTTTATCATTTATTCATGCCATTCTTTGTCTGTTAGTATAAGCTGCTGTGTAGGGCAGGGATAGCTCCAGTCAATCTAATTTTGTTACTGTATCTTTTCTTGAGGAACATATCATATGCTACCCCCAATCTTACATGCCATGTAAGCACCTGAGCGTATAGTAGGGAGAGACTTGTAATTTGTTCTGCTGCCAACTCCTCTAGCCCACCAAATCTTGTTTACCTTTTTAAGTTTACTTTGTTCTGATTATCTTGTTCCTGAGTAAGGACAGGGGCAGATGTTCCGAGAGTGTCTTAGAGCTGGAGCCTCGTAAGGAGGCCTCTGGTGTCTATCTGTGAGCCACGACCTCCAGGGCATAAGGGCGACCTTCAAGTAGGCCAGATAAGGATATCTCCCTAAAAGCAGGAGGGGTAGTATGCTCAGGGCTTTCCTGGGGAAGCTTAGAAGCAGTGCTCTTGGGAAAAGGCATAAATGGTTCATAAGAACTTTCCCATCAGTCCACTATCCCCAAGTTGTACAAATATCAAAATCCCCCCAAGCATGCAGCTCATGGAGGGCAAGACCTAAAGCAAAGGACAGCACGGAGGTAATTGCATCGTATGACTCAGTTTTATGGCTCTAGATCTTTGTCAGGCAGCTGTGCTGGTTTTATAACTTTTGCTGTTCCCACTAGATATGGCTGTGCCAGTCATCAGTAAATCAGGATGGTAAGTGTGCTGAAGTGATGCCATTGCTCCTGACCCCTTGACTCTGATTCTCTTGTCATCTTAATGAAATGGGGTCAAGGTGACTTGCCAAGGAAGTCGCAGTCAGCTGAGAAGGGAGATGAGCAGGAAGGGTATCAGGAAGGGAAGGCTTTGAAGGTGGCTGTGTCATCTTTCTGGATCTTCCCAAGGTCACTCAGTTGACGGTACATGGGTACATGAGGGAGATGTGGGTGAGGGAGTGGGAGGGAGGGAGGGAGTGTCCCTGCTCCTCTTACTCCCGTGGCTGTGGCGTCTTTAGTGACCTGCTGTGGTGTGATTCTGGTGCCTGTGAGTGTCAGGCCCAGTGGACAGCTCGTGGAAGGCATGATGAAGCCTCCAACTTCCTTTTTCATTCTTCGTTTTCTAGCAGCTCATGGTGTAATTCACAACTACTTCACAGCTCAAACACATTCATGCACACTCACGAACATTACACACGTATTTCATTCTGCTCAAGAACCCTCTATTTTGTTGAGTGACTTAGTCTTTGGAAATACTATGATAAAATTATTAGTTTGCTAAAATGTATTTACTTTAATTAGAGGATATTAATCTCCATCTAGCATTTGTCTGAATGTGTCCTTAACAGCAGCATAAAAAGAAAGATGAATTTATTTGTTCTTCATAAAAAGACTTTCTCAAGGTTAGTTAAAATGCTCTCTCTCTCTGTGTAAGTATGTGTGCGATTTATATCTTCATTTAAAACTCAGATGAGCATGCTCCCTAAATTTAAACATGACTATCTCAAACGTTTCTTCCTATGATTTTCTTTCTTTCTTTCTTTCTCTCCCAGGGTTCAAAAATTGATAATGAAAGTCAGGCTGCTGAGAAGCAAAGATAAATACCAGAGGTAACATTTCTATCTCAATCAAATGTCCAAACTTCATGGGAATGCTCGGCCCCCGTGCCTTTTTCCTTCTTGTGTATCAAATGTCTGTTTCTGATTTGGCCCACACGCCTAGGAGCTCACAATGCCAGTGCAGGTACTCACATGTCTCTCTGGGTGCCAATCAGTGTATGAAGGGCAGGAGTGCTTCATTTGTGCATCAGGACTGTGCAGCCTCGGAATAAGCCTGAGTGACTCGTGTCTCTTACTTTAGGCGTTCTTTTGTCTGAATCAGAAAAGAGAGACAGCTGAGTCTCTAGAGAGGTAAACCTGGTGTGGTACCACATTTCTATAATCACAATACTTGGGATGCTGGGACAGGAGAATGGCTGGAAGTCCCAGGCCAGCCTAGGCTACATAATGAGTTCCAGGCCAGCCAGGAATATTTGCTATAGACTACAGACTTACCTCAAAGAGCTAAGGTGGCGGAGAGGAAGAGAAGTTCTAAATTCTCAGGGAGTACTAGACAGACTGACTACCTCCATGACCTTCTTTCCAAAGTCTTTTTTGAGAGTCTCAAAAAAAAAATTACTCTGCTGAGGCATAATCAACATATAAATGAAGAGCCTTGTAAACAAAAATATGTTTGCGGTTTCAAAAAATATTCATGAAGGATGCCCCTTTCTCTCAAGTTTACACAAGACTTGTGACACCATTTTCTAGATGGAGAGAGAGACCTGGACCCAGGAGAGGGCTGGCTTGCAACTCCATGTACAGCTCATAGGTCACACTAGTGATATCTTATTAAATACATGGTGATTGTCTGAGATCTGTTTCTTTCTCTGCATGAAATATCTTTTTTTTTCTTTCCAGCCAGTACCAGCTTACAGCCTCCTTCTCTGTTCTGAAGTTCAGTTCCTAAGAAGAATGGAATAGAAGGTTCTTCTGTAACCCTTACTTGAATCATGTTACTGCAAAAGGCAATAAAGTGAAAGTATAATGATATCTTTCAAATGATTTCCTCAACCAACCAGATCATAAAATTAATCAATTTTGGCGCGTTTAGCAAAGTGCGTGCTGCTTGTCCTAGTTTGGCTTCTGTTGCTGATAGACACCATGGCCAAAAGTGACTTGGGAAGACAAGGCTTATCTTACCTTATGGGTTAGAATCCTTCATCAAGGGAATCCAAGGCAGGAACTAATGACAGGAACCTGCCAATCCCACCCTAGTCTCCTCCCATGCCCTTTCCCCAGTCCACTGATAGGGGAGGTCCTCCTCCCCTTCCATCTGACCCTAGCCTATAAGGTCTCATCAGGACTGGCTGCATTGTCTTCCTCTGTGGCCTGGTAAGGCTGCTCCCCCATCAGGGGGAGGTGCTCAAAGAGCCAGCCACTGAGCTCATGTGAGAGACAGTCCCTGTTCCCCTTACTAGGGTACCCACTTGGAGACTGAACTGCCATGGGCTACATCTGTGCAGGAGTTCAGGTTATCTCCATGCATGGTCCTTGGTTAGAGTATCAGTCTCCGAAAAGACCCTTGGGCCCAGATTTTTTGGTTCTGTTGCTCTCTTTGTGGAGCTCCTATTCCCTCCAGGTCTTTCTATCTCCCCCTTCTTTCATAATATTCCCTGCACTCTGTCCAAAGTTTAGCTATGAGTCTCATCATCAGCTTTGATACCTGAGGGGATGAAGGAGGGGGCTACAGCTGGGATATAAAGTGAATAAACTATAATTAATAAAAAATAAATTAATTTAAAAAATGGAAATAAACTAAAACATTGACATAAAAAAAAAGACAAGAAACTGGAGGCAGGAACTGATGAAAAGACCATCGGGGATTAGTCCTTGCTGTCTTGCTTTCAGGCTCCCCTTTAGTTATGTTTCTTTTTTTTTGATTATTTTATTTTATTTTTCTTTATTAATTACACTTTACTCACTTTGTATTCCCCCCCCCCCGTGGTTCCCTCCCTCCTCCCATCCCAATCCCTCCCTTCCTCCACCCTCTGCATGCATGCTCCTCCCCAAGTCCACTGATAAAGGAGGACTTTTTTTCCTTCCTTCTGATCCTAGTCAATTAGGTCTTATCAGGAGTGGCTGCATTATCTCCTTCTGTGGCCTGGTAATGCTGCTTCCCCCTCCGGGGGAGGTAATTAAAGAGCAGGCCAATCAGTTCATGTCAGAGACAGTCCCTGTTCCTATCACAATGGAACCCACTTGGATACTGAACTGCCATGGGCTACATCTGTGCAGGGGTCTTAGGTTATCTCCATGCATAGTCCTTGGTTGGAATATCAGTCTCAGGAGAGACCCCTGTGCTCAGATTTTTTGGCTCTGTTGCTCTCCTTATAGAGTCCAGGTCCACCTGCCCAAGGACAGTACCACCTATAATGTCCTGGGTCCTCCTACACCAGTTTCCAATCCAGAAAGTGCCTAACATACATGGCCAGAGGTCCATCTGATGGTGACCATTCCTCAACTGAGCGTTCCTCTTCTCAGGTGTGTTAAGGGACCACCAAGATTAGCCATGCCACTACAATCACAAGGAATTTGATTCCCAGCACCCACACAGAAAAATGTCAGCCATGTCGATATGCACTGTCAATCGCGACCCTGGGGAGAGGACAGAGACAGAGAGACTTTCTGAGCTTCCTGGTTAGTCAACCTGTCTTAAAGAACAATGTGGACAGATCCTGGGAATGGTACCTGAGACTGACTTCTGGCCTCCATATGTTCAAGCACATAGGAGCACCTGTGCCTTCATACATATGTGTGCGTGGGCGCAGGCGTGTGCGCGCACACGCACACGCACACACACGCACACACACACACACACACACACACGCACCCATGCATGAGCGTATGCATGCAATGCACACGAACACAACTGAGCAGTCATGATCCAGTTATCTTGTTAGCATCTCTCTTACACTGCTGGACCTGCCTTACTCTCTGGAGGTCAGGACTCTGTGTATCCGTGTATGGGAACAGTGTTTCTGGGCCCCACTGTTGCCACAGAGAGAAGGAACTGGGGATCTGAAGGCATGAGCCTGTGTTAGCACACCACGGGCCCCACTCAGAGCCAGTTTCCATGGCATGTGTAAAACATGGCTCCAAGCGCTTTCTATGAATCACCCCATTTAGTTCTAACAATTTTGGAGTACATATTTTTATTCCCATTTTATTCCCATTTTGCAGGACAAACTTGTGAATGCTGCTTCTTAGGTTCATCCACGTGATGTGTATTAGAAATCTCTTGCTCAGTGATGGCAAGATGGCTCAGTGGGTAAAAACCTAATGACCTGAGTTCAATTCCTGGGCCCCAGATGGTAGAGGGAGAGAATCAACTCCCATCAATTGTTCTCTGGCCTCTATCTACAGGTACCCATACACATATGTGAACACACACAATAAAGGAATACACGTAGAGAGCCTGAAGAACATTTACAATGGCAGCAGCAGCAGGAGGGTTTTCTCTGTGTTCCACACCAGAATTCCTACTCTGCCAGAGCTGTGCAGAAGTGCCAGGAAGCAGAGCCTGGTTCTGAGTTTGGTTGTCTTGCCTTCTCTAACATAAAAGCCACAGCCAGCGCTTCATGGTGCCCACAAAGGTGATGACGCTTTAACGTGTAACCCAGGATGCCATCCACAGGGTTATCCTGGCATAGTGTTTCAAACAGACTCTCAGAATCTCACTCGTTTATTCCAAAACAGTTATTAGATCCTTGCTGTGTGGGGCATGGCAGACGAGAGAATGTGAGTCAAACGGACGTGGCTCTTGTGTCGTTCTGAAGTGGGGGAAGGTGTCAGGCCAGCAGGCAGCCAGGCTATAGTGGATGGAACAATAAGAAAAGACCCTTGCCCTTTGCCAGAGTACTGTGATGGCTGAGGCTGTGCGTGGTGGCTGGAGATAGCTCAGATTCTTACTGCTGTGTATGGCCTCAGGGTCTGTGATCCTGGGCCTCAGGGTCTGTGGTCCTATGTGTGTGTTTTGTTGTTTGGGGGTTTGTGCATGTGTGGTGGCTGGAGATACTTCAAACTCCTACTGCTATGAATTCAATGTAGGGCCTAAGAGTCTGTGTGTTTTGTTGTTTGGGTTTGTGTGTGTGTGTGTGTGTGTGTGTGTGTGTGTGTATGGTTTTTATTTTTGTATGATATGCTACCTTATTAAAAAGAAATGAACTCCATTACTGTCTTAACTTACCAAGTACATTGGCCACCGGGTGATAGCACTGAATTTATAGACACGTTCATAAAGCTTTTTTTGTTCTTTGATTATTTACCAATATGAGCATAAGAAGGGGTTTTCATTTAAACAACAGGTAAGAGATTATGAACAGGAGTGAAACAGATACAGTTGGCTAGTTTAACTCTGTGCCTAATATTGGAACTGCTTTGGGATCAAGATTCTGCTGAGGGCGGCATATGTAAAACTCAGATTCTGAAAGCTGAATTCTGAATCTGCGTCCATGAGGACTTTTGTCCCAGAGCATGTTGTCACGCCAACGGAGGGCACTGCTATGCCAGAGAGTACACACACACACACACACACACACACACACACACACACACACACACACACACACACACACGATTCAGGTGACCAGTAGGATGATAGCAGAGAAGGGGGAAGAAGGGCTATCCTAGAGCGGGAGTTGCCCTTCGCTTGGAGGAGAGGGGATTTGGAGCGAGGGAACTTCACACTTACTGTCCTGTGCTCACACAGAGCTTGCATCAGTGAGTAGAGCACCTGGACTTGACGCAGGGAGGGCTCTGCAGCACTAGAGGTGCCTGTGAGTACAATAGGCCTCACGGTGCAGTCTTGCTTACTAGCCGTGGGCAGTGATCGCGGGGGGGGGGGGGTTGTTAGGATATCCGGTCCCCGTCTTTGCCCTTTTGAACTACAATGCAGGCAAGGATTACGTTATTCGGCTTGCTGTGACGTCATCACTGGTGGGCATATCAGAGATCTTGCAAGCCCAGCACTCACTGCGGAGTCTGGGGCAAGAAGATTGAGTCTCAAGACCAATTGGTAGAGAGGGAGACCCCGTCTCCAGCAGGCCAGCCAGCAAAACCACGAATCACCATTTTCTTCTGTATCTGGAGACCCTCCTTTTGCTTAATCTCAAAGGCCAGCCTAAAAGGTTGTTTTAAAATTGTTTGCTTTCTAGTAAAATGCATAAAATGAGTTACACCATAAATCTCATTCCTTGGCCACTGTTTAAATAATCCTCACCACTTACGTTAACTGTGGTCCCAATTCTACCCTGAAGACTTAGTAACTTTTTGCATTTTCAAGAATCTCTTACGAATACTCAAATATCTATGATAGGAGGGCTCTTCTGGAGGCTTCAATTTAGCTGAGCTGGGGGGTGGGGCACAGGATGTCTGAATGGAGTGGCTGTCTGATGTTTTTATTCAAGGCATTGGTTCTGGTGTAACAGTTCCTTTTCTGATTAACCCAGGAGAGGGAGAACAAGATCTTAAAGGAAACAGGGTCTTGAAAATAGGCCTAGCACTGACTTCTGATTGCTGACCACTTGTCGGGCTGAGGGCAGCACATGTTCGCTTTCTCTTTGCCTCTTTAGAACTTTGCACATGTAAACAAGCTTTTCTATGAAACGAGATATTGTAGACTGGCATTTACCAAACATGTTGATCAATTGTTTTTACAAGGCCTGTGTGTTGTAATCTTGAGCAAATCATTGGTTGACATTGCCTGTACTCATTAATAAATACCAATATTTCTTCATTGTCCTGAATTTCTTCAACTTTATGTGACTCCGTGGGAGCCTGAAGGAAAAGAAAAATTCACGAGAAAAGTTAATGGTTAACCATAATTGCTTGAAAAGACTACCAAATCTTCATTTCTCTTGAATGGTGGAAATTCATCTGAAACAATGGAGATTGTTAAAACTCTCTCTCTTATTGTTTTTTTCAGCTACATTAAATGTGAGTCTCTCCAAACAAGTTTGCTACGTGCAGGTAGGAAATCCCAGGGTCAGCCTGTGTAGCCTCTGTGTAAGGATATGATGAGTAACCAAGATCATTACTGGCATGTGCCCAGAAAGGCTTATCTTTCTCGGTGGTCATCACTATCAAAAGAGTCACGGAAAGTTGCTGGACACTAGTGTGTGCCATGACTAGAGAAAGAGGGCTGATCCATTGAGGCCACTCTTCTGGGACTATCTCATTTTAGCTTTTGGTCGTTGTTGTTGTTTGTCCCCATTCTACAGGAGAGGATGCTACCCTTAAGCCACTGTTTGAATTTGGCTAAGTGGTTTAAACAGAGCAAAAATGCGAATGACTGCAGGAATAAATAGAATAAAAGCTACATTGTTTCATGCCGTTATCACCAGGCAGCACTTTATATAGGTTCTCATTTAATATTGTGTATGTGTGTGTGATGTGTTCCTGGGCAATATGTGTTTGTGTACACATGCATACGTGTGCTTACATGTACACATGTATGTATAGGCTGGAGGTTGACACTGGCTGTCTTTCTCAATTGATGTTCAACCTTAACTTTCTTGAGTCGGGGTCTCCTATTGAATGTGGAGCTCACTGATTGGCTAGAATGTCTGGCCAGTGAGCTCCAGGGATCCTCCTGCCCAGCAATAGGATGACTGATGCAAGCCAATGTGCTGGACCCCTAAGGTAGATTCTTGGGATCCAAACTCACATCCTTATGGTTGTACAGCAAGCATGGTGTTCACCGAGTCACCTTCCCAGCCCCTCATCTAATCTTTGTACCCACCCAAAGCACTCAAACTTATACTTCATCCATAAATGCAAAGAGGTTATTTTCGTCCTATCTTTTATAAGTAGAAGTTCAAATCTGAAGAGCTGCCTTTAAAGCCTTTGTTTTGTGTAGCAATAGTAAGAATGAATGATCGTTTACTTACTTCACAGGAAGCTGCTTGTTTCTTTAGAAACCATTAGTGTGAGGAGGAAGACATAACTCCATGGAGAAGTGTATATCTATGCGGTGAGTGGGTGACAAAGATGGAAATGATGAGCAATACAAACTGTGGGACACACTTTCTTTGCCAAATTAAGCAAACTTGTCAGTGTTGGGGATTATATTCCCAACTGCTGACATTTACTCCTGGATGTGCTAATAGCTTCTGACGAAGGAATAAAAGAGTTTTTGTTTTGTTGTTCTGTGTTTGTTTGTTTTGAGACAGAGTCCCCCTCTGTCCTAGCCCCTGCTGTCCTGGAAATCTTTGTTAGACCAGGCTGGCCGTGAACTCACAAATATCTGCCCGCCTCTGCCTCACTGGTGCTGGGATTAAAGGCATGTGCCAGCACTGCCCGGCAGAATAAAACAGTTTAACCAAATCACTTGAGTTTAAATAATTTAGAACATTGTGTCTCTGTGTGCAAGTGTAGGCCTGAGGGCAATCAATCTTGTGTGTATGCTTCAGATGCCATCCATCCTGATTTTTAAAAAAAATATGTATTTTTGAGATCATAATCCAACTGCATCATTTTCTTCTTGCCTTTCTTCCCTCCAAATCCTCCTATGTTCTTCAAATTCATGGCTTTTTTCCCCTATAATTGTTGGTGGTGGTGGTTGACATATGACATTAGATAACCAATTCTCGTGGTCTTCCTTAGCTGCCTGTAGTTGTCTATCTAGGGTCAAGGCCTCATGAGCTTCCCACTCTCGTGTTAAAATGTGTACTGGTGTCCTCTTGTTTCATGTGGGTTTTGATTGGCTTAGAGCTTGCCAAGCTGTGTAGGCCAGCTGGTTGGTGGTCCCAGGGACCCACTCGCCTCTGCCTCATCAGAGGGATGACAGGCCTGCACCACCATGCCTAGCTCTTTTTTCAAGTGTCTGTTGGTTGAACTTGGTTGAACTTGGTTCTTTATGCTTAGAAGGCAAGAAGTTTGAATGCAACTACATGCTATTCACTTGTAAACAGTGAAAGAGTTCAGCTATGTTTGATTATTAAAAAAAAATTCACAGCAAATAGCTTAAGCTCAAAAGAAGATATAGAGTGCTAAAGCGTTCTTGTCATTACCGATAATGAAAATAAATCTGGAAAATTGTGATTAAAAGAAGTGCAGATTGTAGAATTTAAAGGAGGTTTTCAAGCTGGGAAGTGTTTTAGTCCATCTGAGCTGCTGTGCAAAATAGCACAAGATGGGAGAATTTTAAACAGCAGAAGTTTAGGTATCACAGTATCTGAGGCTGAAAAGCCCAAGCCCAAGATGCCAGCAGATTTATTATTTCTGCCCAGTGATAGCTTTTTGCTATGCGTGCATGTGATAGAAAGGATGAATGAGCTCCCCTAGCCTCTTTTATAAGGATGCTAATTCCATGGATAAAGGTCCCACCTGATGACTATTACAAACTCCTGTCCTAGGTTAGTATTTCAACACATGGAAGCCAGGGGCCCAAAAGTGTTCAAATCATGGCAATGAACAAACCCTTTTCTTCCCAGCCAGGCAGCATGTTAACCACCAGGATCACCTAGAAGAGAACTTAGGAGTCGCGTGAGTTTGGATATCAGTATTCTCTGTTTGAAATTTGAGAAGAAGTTACTTTGGGAGAGTAGGGTGATGATGATCTGACAAAGAAGGAAGGGGAAGGGGGCAAAGTCACCGCACATTTGATACTCAGCTCTTACGTTTCAGTGCGAGCATCATGGTCGCTCAGTTTCTTCAGGATGCAGCTTATGGAGAAGTCCAAACCTTAGCTAAAGGCCTGCTGGATCTTGCTGAAAAGTGTAAGAGTCCAAGGCCACATGAATCGCCTACAGAGTGTGCTCATCAGTTGGTAGGTGGAGCATAAGCTGTTTCGTTTTGTTTTGTTTTGTTTTTTCCTCCTAAGCTAGATGATAAACCAAAGATACCGCTATAAACAGGATTGGTTGAATAATTAGGCAGGACACTGGAAAGCAAGAATATGCATGTGAATCACATGCCAGGTATAAGCTTTGTAGCTTCGGAACCTACATTTAACCAAGTTCTCTCTGGGAGCCTAGGTTTGGAGGGCCAGGCCTTCAAGAGAGTGAGTCACAGCCCGGAAGAGCAGTGAGCTTATTTGTGTTGATTTCTCTGGCTGAGTCACCAAAATGCTGGGGTCTGACATCTCCACACAAAAGACTTTGGGAAATTGATTTAAAATTAAAAGTAAGAGAAATTTCTTTAAGAATAAGAAATAGAAACAAGTATTTTTTACAGATTTCTTTCCCAGTCAGTAGAAAATGAGGAGCATTATCAGTGCTTCGTTACAAAATATTTGTCTTGTGACCAGCAATTTCAGTAAAATAGGAATTTTTTGGGGAAAAATATTTTAGTTTTTGAATTGTGGGGGGCGGGGGTTGTATGCATGTGTGTGTGAGACACACGTGGGTGTCAGAGGACAACTTGTGGAAACTATTTCTCTCCTTTGACTGTGTGGGTCCCAAGGCTTGAACTCAGGCCGTCAGATTTGGCAGCAAGTGCCTCTAGCCACTGAGCCATCTCATGCCCCCTTCCTGGGAAATCCTCGGTCAACACTAACATTCTCTTAGAACAGAGTCTCAGGATCAAGTATTTTCATGCTAAATAATGTAACATATAAACGAGGAGTGACTTTTCTCCTTTACTCGTGGAGTTGTTTTGCTTCATCTCTTGGGGCTAATGCCTGTGTATTGTGTACTAGACTCTGGATAATGAAGGCATGTCCTCAGTCTACATTTTAAATGGAGGCTCTTCTGGTGGCTATGCTTATCTTAGAATGATGCCTTTTTAATTTCCATTTCAAAAGATGACTTTTTTTCTGAATTTATTAATTTTTTTTTCAAATGTGAAATGCACATGCCAGTTGAGGTTTACCAAACCCCACACGCTTACTGCCACCTAAAAAACATTTGAAAACACTGAAATCATTACACTTCCAGTTGGAGAGCTGACAACGAACATACACTGGCTCAAAGTTCAGTTCTTAAAATACGTTCCCATGGAAACAAAACGAAAAGTGAGGAGGAAATAAAGCAAATTAGTAGCTTTTTTTGGTGGATAGTTCTCATTAAAAATATCTTGCCCTGGGTATTCTGAATTATATCTAGTTACCTTTCAAAAGCCTTCCGACTGCTTGACAATGAATCACTTTCAGAGGAGAAGGGAAATGGTAAATTCTCTGTGGTCAGAGTGAGTTTAGGTTTAAAAACCAAAGAGAGGCTGGGAAGATGGTTCCGTAAAGGCACTTGCTGCTAATCCCGACAGCCTAACTTTGATACCAGGAACCCCATAAGGTGGAAGGAGAAAATCTGCCCCCTCGAGCAGTCCTCCATCCTCTATAACTGCTCCAAGGCACACACCCCTCACCATACGTAATAGGTAAATGGTGGTAAAAACAAATGAATATCTACTGATTTTTACTTAAAAGTTATGTCTAGGAGGCGACACGGTAGTTCAGTCTCTGAGGTACTTGTACATGTATGAAGACCTGAGTTCAGATCCTAGTAGCTATGTCAATCCAGGCACGGCTGTGCATTTTCAGAACACCAGCAGCAGGGACCCGAGACAGGTACATCCCTGGAGTGTGCTGGTCAGTCAGTGCAATGATCAAGATTCAGTGAATTGGCCTTTGCCTCTCAACATGCACGTCCATACACTTGTATGCACACATGTAAGTGTGTGAACACATATGTACATGTGTACACAGAATAAACAAAAAACAAAATAAGTTAAAATATATACATACACACAGAATGAATAATCAAACTTAAAATCTCTGTGTGCAGAGATTACTGGAGTCAAAGCTCAGTGTCACACACTGAGTTTAAACGTTCCCGTGGTGAGGGATGCTGGTCTCCTACACTTCCGGTCTCTTACAGTTCCCCTGTATGTCACCCTTTCCTCCAACAGACGGCCACCTTCCTTACACATATTTGCAGCAACCAAGGGCTAGTGGACAACCACGTTCTCACTGACTGTTGTAAGGTGAAAAATACAGCACGACTCAAGTGCTTTCTGTCCTACAAGAAGGATGATGCAGACAGCAGCGACACACCCCTGAGTCCAAGGCCTGAGCTGGCCTGTGAGATGGCTGAGGAGAATAACGTGTCCCTGAAGGCGAGGTAAGCCACTTCTCCCAACTGTTGGAGAATGAAGCAAGCTCATAGGGAAAGGAAAATGGTACATTCTCTGTGGCCAACAACTGGCACGTGTGAATTTAGATTTAAAAATCTAGGAGGGGCTGGAAAGACAGCTCAGTAAAGGTCCTTGCTGCTGGCCCTGACTTGATACCAGGAACCCATTTTAAGAAGAATATTTTCCAGTTTTTAAGACAGACCCTTTTTTCATTTACCGTTCTCTGAAAGCAATGTTTTATTCTATGGAAGTAAAATGGAACTTGAGCTATATGATACATTTGTTTTTCTTCTGAAGAGGATGGCCATTAATGCCCCGTTGGGTCTATGAGGACTGGCAATGTCTGCTGTGGATGATTAGAAATGACCAGGCCCTGTAAGGGCTCACCTCCCTGATTAGAGAGAGCAGCAGGAAACAGTATTTACGGTGCTGTGCTGAGATACAAATGTTAGTACTAAACAGATGCTGGGGTTAACACAGCATCGCAACATGGAGGAAGGCAAATAAGAGGGCTTGTGACTAGGAACCCAACAGCCAACCTGACTAGAGAAGGGGAAGGACAAGACTTGGTGAAGACGGGAAAGCCACTCTAGTTGGGCTCCAGCTGGCTCCCGTGAAACCCGTTTGCCCTCTGTGAAGAACAAGAGCAAGGAAGGCACCCTTTCTTTTCCAGTAGTGAACGGCTTAGCATCATGGGTAGCGGCACTTTGTATATGTTTTGCACCTGAAGCATCAGATAGTAACAGATTAAACTGGAGGTAAGAATGCCTCTGAAGGAGGCTGCCATCTGTTCCAGAGGGGCGGGGGAGATCATCCCAGGCCACCCCAGGGATGGCCCAAAGGGAGGAGAAACGAGTCCAGATTCCAGGCCGTCCTTTGCTTGTGCTATTTGGCATAGTTCACCTTGCCCTGTGGAGGCTTGCTTGTCTTCTGCATCCTTGCCTGCTGGATTATTGGTCCAGTGCCACTGGGTGAGTTCTTGTTCTTTGGAAACATAAGAATCAAGATTGCCTCAGTGCTTGGGATAGGAAGGGATTGAAAATGTGGCATCTCTGTCTCTTCGTGTACAACAGAGGGTGCAGAGGGCTAGGCTGACCTAGGAAAGCCATGAAAAGCAGAGATCACTGGAGAGAGAGGCCAGTAACAGGCCCCAGTCCTGGGGAGCTGTCCCTCAGACATGACACCTGAGAGGTGCGCTATGGGGTCTGTCATTTGAGCCAAGAAACGAACAATAATTGTAGATTAAACAAGGTTGAGTCTTCAGCTAAAGACAACAGACCGTGTAATCCCAGAGTGAGAGATAGTACTATGGTATTACCAAGACGGTTGTCTGGAATCCTAATTAGCATGGAGCTGCATCTGTTCAGTCAGGTGCTAATGAGGAGTTAGGGTTTAGGGCCAGGAAAGGACAAGGGAACAGAAGACTCCTGTGGCTCCCATGGAGTGCGGCTGTGGCTATATTACTTGAGTCAGGCACTGAAATGAGGAATCCAGCTGCTGGACCCAGAGCCTGGGAGCTCAGTGGTGATCTGATGGTAGATTTTACCCATGTTAGTCTAAGTAAACGAGGAGACTAGATAACAGTGAGGCGAGTAATCCAAACCTCTTTAATTCACCCTTCCAGGGGGCAGAAACGCCCTCAGAGATTTCTGCAGCTTCGTGAAAGAACCATGTGCCCTCAGACAGTTAGAAGAGACTAAGGGATCACGTATCAGGCACATTCCGAAATGCGTGGCATTAAGAGGCAAAATATGAATATGGCTACTCTCATGTATTAAAGAGCTGTTGCTTACACAAGCTTCAGGCAACCCTAATGCATCCCCTCAACAGATAAGAAGCACAGCCAGTACAGTGAAGGTCACGGTCAGGGACTTGGGTCACCTGGACACCTAGCTCCCAAACAGAGCTGTTACTCCTTGCTGAAGGGTCTCTTCTTGGAGGCCTCCTGGCCAGGACTCTCAGCAGAGGCCTTCCTGCTCTCAGTCTCATTAGCTCTTTTCCGCCATTGCTCCGGCGTCATGAAACTCTAGGAGCTTTTCCCAGGGCTCCTTGAGGACTGGGAAGATTCAATATATATGGCAATTCCTTTTTTAATAAAAAGTCATTGTGTACAAACACGTACGTGTGTGTGCGTGCGTGCGTGCGTGCGTGTGTGTGTGTGTGGGGGGGGTCAAGGGACAACTTTGTGGTGCTATTTCTCTTCCCCTCCCCTCACATGTGTTTCAGGTATCGTATCAAATTCTAGTCACTAGGTAGCATGGTGAATCTCTCTACCCAAATGAGCCATCTTGTTGATCCCTAGGTTGATGGCTGTGATCCCCACCTGGCCTGATCATCGGGGGAGACAATGAAACAGAAGACCTGGCAGTCTTTCTTTATCTCTCCCCTTCTGTGACCCTAGTAAATAGTTAACTATAGTGTGCCTGTGCCTTTCATGCTGGCTTCCAGCCCTACTTGGATACTTTGACATCTGGCAGCTCAGTTTTTCCCAGCTCAGCTCAAAATCCTGACCACTCTTATATGATGAGTAACTGAATCTCAGATGCCTCTGCTTTGGATTACACCCTCAAGAACATGTGTTTAAAGAAAGAGGATTGAGAGTCTCTCAGAGGAATAAGTGGTCAAGCCTAGAAGTGAGGCATAGCATGTCCATTCAGATTTTATTGATAAAAGCTGCCGACTTTACTACAAGGGCTGGAAATTCAGTGTTCCGAAATACATGGGAAAAGGAAATGGATTTGTGTGAATGTACAAGTTTTGGTGTATGGTGTTGACTTTCGTTGAATGCATATTCATGTATGCGTGAGTCTGTTTTTGAGGAAAAAAAAGTTCCACAGACTAGTGTGAGGAAACACAATTTCAGGGAATTTAGTAACAAGTAAAAATACTGAATGGCAGGTGTTAAAAGACAATGACATTGACTGCAAAAGTCTAGAAAGGGCTTCTGGATGACCTTGAGAGATTACTGACCACCAAGAATACTTGTAAAGCCAATTCCTGAACCAGATGAATAATCGTGCATTATAGTGCAGCTTAAACTACTCAACTTCCTATCTCTCCATCTCTCTGAGAAAGTGGGGAGATTAAATTTCTGATTATGTTTTCCCCACTTGTCGCAGTCACTTCATGGGCACCCAGGGAATGATTCTGGTGATTTGTTCACAGCCAACATTTGATGCTTTTAGGCAAAGTTCCACCAACTCTCAATCACCAGAATTTTCAGAAGTTTCATATAGACACAAAATGCATAAACGCTGTGTGTTAGGAATGACATTGCCATATGTGCCTGAATGCCAAACCATACAACGTTGCAATTGTCATCTTACAGGTACAGCTATGAAACTTCTAGAAGACATCCATTCTTATATGGACCCACTATTTTGACCATGTCTTCTTGCTAAGAAGACCATGTCTTCTTGTTCAGTCATGTTGTCAAGACGAAAATAAAACAGAGTGCCTGCAGACAAAGGTATTGTATACATTGCTCAGTTGTCATTTAAGGCTTTCCTGTGGAAATTGGATTGTAGACCAAGAGCATAACATCAACTCACAGCATGTCAGAGATGCAGAATCCAAAGCTCTTCTCCAGACCTAATAAACAGAGTTAATTTTAAAAAGAAACAGATCTAAGTCTTGAAATGCGACAGGTTTTTTTTTTTGGATGAAATATTTTTAATATATTTTTTAATTTATTACAATTTATTCACTTTGTATCCCAGCAGTAGCCCCTATCCTCATCCCTAATCAATCCTACCCTTCTTTCCTCCTTCATCTCCTCCCATGTCCATTCCCCAGTCCACTGATAGGGGAGGTCCTCCTCCCCTTCCATCTGACCCTAGCCTATAAGGTCTCATCAGGATTGGCTGCATTTTCTTCCTCTGTTGCCTGGCAAGGCTGCCCCGACCTCAGGGAGGAGGTGATCAAAGAGCCAGCCACTGAGTTCATGTCAGAGACAGCCCCTGTTCCCCTTACTAAGGAGCCCATTGACAATTTTGAAAATAAACGTTTAAGCACAGGCACTGTTGATACATAACAGAAAAACCCATATTTTGGAGGTATAAAACAATGTTAATTTTTTTATTGCCATTAACATTGTGATCAAGAATTCAGGGAGTAATTCCCTTGGGCGTTTTTGGCTCTTGACCTTTTGTATAGCTGTAATCAGATAACACCTGGATCTGGGAATCAGGAGGCGTTGGATTTTCTGATCACTAGTGCACCCTCTCTTCTTCTCTGTGTGCACAACCTCAAGTGTGTTCATGTAGTATTTTTGCTAGGGTTACATTGGGCTGTTTCATAGCATGGTGCCCAGAGGGCAAAAGCTTTGGAAAAGAGTTTTCTAGTGGACAAAAAGGAGGCTGGATGGCCATTTGTAATGCAGCCTCAGAAATCATTTCTACCACATCTTCCTGTTTGAAACATTGTAAGACCTCACCATTGGAATGGGCCATTATATAGACTTTACTTCTTGATGGGATAATGATGATCAGTCTATTCTCAGAAAACCATGGGGCAGGAGATGTTTTAGCCTTTTGGCCCTTGTTGGATACATGCAAACTAGTGATTAGTTTTAGGATTAAAAAGTTTGTGTGCGTGTGCTCATTAAAGGCTCTAAACATAGAAACATTCTAAATATTAACAGAGCCATGTTAGGGCCACAGGTGTGTGGGGTTCCCCATTGGCGGGGAGAGAAGAACTTCAGGCTGTTTTTCTACATGCTGTGCTGAAAACTAATGGTAGTTTGATAATCACTAAAACAAATAACTCAAGACCAACTATGGCTGGTTTTGTCTTGATGTCTTCATTGTTCACAGTAAGAAACCATCTCATTTCCTCTAAAATTCGTAGAATTTTATCTCTTTCTTCTACCTAGCTCTCCTTGTATATTAAAAAAAAGAAAACCAAACAAACAAACAAACAAACAAACAAAAAAAACAAAAAGCAAGTGTATCTGAAGAGATTCTGCGTGGGCTAAAAACTCCGTGTTTGAAACTATCTTCACTGAAGCTATTTCTTTATATTTCTGACCTACCTATTATTATCCTGGTGGATTCTGGTTCCTTTAGAAGCCAATTCTCAGTTCCTAAGCAAGGCCTTCACTTCTCTTTCCTCTTGGTTTCATTTTAATTAAAGCCTGGAAGTCCGTGGTTATTTACTGAACTGTTTCGTTGTTTAGCACTTCAAAATAAAATACAAATATGTTTGCCTATTTTCCTGAGGGTCTCTGAGACTTCACCATGCTCTGATCACAGGCACAATTGGTATACGATATAATCGACAGAACAAGAGCCACTTGGAACGGACATCACAGTGACACTGCACACACCACAATGGGGAAACCTGTTAGCTGGTTTTACTGCATCTGCTCATGGTCAACACCGTAGGTGTGTGCTGCACATTTAGGAAAATTTTCCAGTGAAGAAACCAAATGTGAAGGAAACATTGTGACCCATACGCTACACTTTAAAGTAGAAACTTAAGATTAAAGAAAACAAACCTTTGGAGGTGAAGAAGTTAACATGCAGAATCGAAGCTTCTATCACAGCTAAGCAGTTTGCTACACTTCCAAGATAAAATGGTTAATGACTTCCATAAAAGAAAAGGGAGGCGACAAGGCAGTTTTTGAGTCTCTTCTGGTGGCTCTCTAGACACTAGTTTGCTTATGAAGGTTTAAGACAATTGATCTCGTGGGAAGTCAGGTGTTGTTTTTGCAAAAGTCTTGTCATGTTATTTCTCTGCGGTATTCCCTCTTAAGTCAGTAGGCTGAAGACTTTCTAATGTTGAGAACGTACATGATTTTTGGTTTTCTATCTTTTCCTAATGATGTTATTAACATCTTCTGTTACTAACACATTTCTTTAACAAGCTGTTTTCTGTTTTCAGTTGGAACCCATCAGAAAATATATTAGAGGAATATCTGTGAGACATCATCATTTATGTGAAATCGGGATCAAATTCAATGACAAAGTAGCCAGAGCAGTGTAAGTGTTCTATGTGAATTCGTGTGCTTTGTTTCTGGTAGGTTAGATGTTTTGACTAACTACTTTGAAAAGCCATTTACCCATTATTTAACAGTGTTTGCCAATATATGTCTGGAATCCTTCTCTATATCTATGCAGCTTATTTGTTTAAAAATGGCATGAGAGCTGTGTATGAAATCACAGTCCTCAACTGTACCCATTATATCCTTCATTAGTTTATTTCATCAGCTCAAACCCCTCAATTAATGATAGATTTGGGGCACTAAGATGCAAGGACATAGGGATGGAGATGAAACGTAGATACTGTTCTTGCAGAGGACCCAATTTAGGTTTCTAGTAGTCATACTGAATGATTCACAATCAATCAGCTGTAACTCAGCTCTGGGGAACCTGCTGCCCTCTTCTGGACTCCTTGGGCACCTACACTCACACATGCATATTCTCATAAATAGGCACACACATCCAAATCATTACAAATATAAGTAAAACTTAGAAAAAATATGCAGAGACTTGGCTGGGCATGATAGCATATCGCCTATGCTATCATGAGTGCTAGATGCAGGAACATCAGGAGTTCAAGGTCATCTTGAGCTACGTAGTATGTTCAAGGCCAGCTGGGATTATAGAGGGTAATTATAATAATAACAACAGTAATAAATAAATAAATATGCAGAGACTAACTGAATCTTTATAGTAAAGAGTAGAGGAAAAAAACCTCTTTTTTTTCAATTAAAACAAAGGGATGGAGAAGGTCCTAATGAATCCTTTCCAGCTTGAACTCATGTATTTTTTTTTTTAAATCACCATTTGTCCCAGTGAGTGACATCACTGGGCTTCCTGGAGAGCAGGGATATTTTATTTTTGGAGAAACTCCTAGGACTTGACAATAGGCACAGATAAGCCCCATGCTTCATTCATTTTTCTGTGTGATGAGATTAATGTTGGAAAGAGGCTGTCATATTTCCAAGGCTATCAAGTTTACATTTCAATGTCTCTGCAACTCAACATCTTTAAATGATGAAAAGCACTGTATTTGACGTTATTGAGATTTGATCTTTGTATGGGTATGCATGATCACAAAAGAAGTTAATTTTTTTTTTAATACTTGCTAATGTCTTTAGACACCTTTGGTTCCTTGAAGTAGAAATTCAAAATATGGAAGAAAGGAAAGGAGGAAATTATTTAATTATATTATAATCTCAAAAATAAAATAATTATATTATTAAAATAAAATGAAAGAAACAAAATACTATGCTCATTCTAAAATGATACTGTTTAAATGTACTTAATTTTCTTTACAGAGAATTGACTCTGCTCACTAAAAAGCAACCTAAAGCTAATTTTTTTGAAATTGCCAAATTGACCACAGATATTAAAAACCTGCATGAGACCTGTTGTGAAGGAAACACAATAGTGTGTGTACTGGGGAGGGTAAGGCAGCTCTTCTTTCTTTGTATTTTTTTTTAATGAATTAGGTTTATTATTTGACAATTTTATATATATGCAATTCATACTAGTTGCTCTTATCCTCTCTCACATTAGCTTTACAAAATTTAAAATTTGTAAGCGATGACACAGCAGTAAATAACAAAACTAGAAAAGTAATTTGGAAGAGAGCTGTTGGCCAATTCTAAGCTCTAGGGTTGCCGGCTTGCCAAAGACAGTGTTTATATACATATGTCCAAAGAGTTTTCGTTACGCACCAGGGAGGTTTTGTTTATTTGCGTATACTGAGGATGGGTTCTGAACATCAATACGTAGGTACTACGTTCTTACCTTTGGATGATCATTTGATTTCTATCTTTTGTCTTATTCACCGATGGATTTTTTTTAAGTGAAAGCACTTTTCATACAAGTGTGAGGACTGGTGTTCGGGCCCTGAGACCTCCTGTAAAGCTGAATGTGGTGGTGCTCGCCTGTGGTCCTAGTGTGCCCTAGTGTGGAAAGGGAACTGGAGGCAGGAGACTTCCCACAAGTTCTCCTGTTAGTCCTGTGTAGAAGAATGTTAATTCGGAACATGGCTGTTCTGGCAGGATATCACATCCAAACATCTTCTAGGTCTGTGTGATCCGGCTGGAATAGTTATGGCTTTAATCCATGACACATGAGTTCAAGGCCAGTTATAGAACTGTTATAGAAGGCCTGTTATAGAACAAGTTTCAGGCAAAGAAAAGCTTAGGTCCAGGTGTGGTGGTACATGCCTTTAATTCCAAACAATGAAGGTAAAGTTAGTTTGTAGAAGAATGCTCCCATGTTTGGAAGTGATGTCTTATTGGGTGGCAGAAAAAAAGTGACAATTCAGAGAAAGACATGGGATTCTGGGTGTACCCCATACCCATTCTCTCCACCCCATTCCTAAAAGACTGGGAAGAAAGGAGCATTTCTCTTCTAAAGTCCCCATCTGGGGACAAAGGCAAAACTGTAACACCACTGGGATGTGGTATAGTAGTATCCCACCTAGCACGTGTAAAAACCACAAAGTAAGTGAATAAGGTTTCCTGTGATTCCTAGATCATTTGCCCTAACCAATCATCTCTGACAATTTAAAAAGAAGGAAGGTAATTTGAAGAATCCTTGAAAATGACTCAGCACATTCCCTCTTGATTCTCAGGGACTCACACGATAAGCCAAAAAGAAAGTAAATATTTTTTGCTTGGACAATGTTGCAAGCAACAGATAAAGGTAAAACAATTTGTGTAAATCAACACTGGAAGGGAGGAAATAAGAAAAGTCAAGCACCAGGTCTGTAATCCCAGTTCTGGAGAGGCAGAGGCAGGAGGATCACCACAACTTGAGACCAGTCTGATTGACATAGTGAATGCTAGGCCAGCTAGCACTGGAAAAGGAGATTATCTCAAAAACAGAGACGGGAGAGATCAGGCAGAATACTGAACCATGCTGATGTGGAAAGAGGAGATCTTCTTGGGCCCATCTCTAGACCTACAGGCAACTGACAATTGCTGTGAGAGGAAGCATTTGTCTTCCCCTTGGATGAGCCCACAAATTAGTTACCCAATGGTCAGGCCTAAAAGCATTGCATACAAGTAACACTAAACAGACACAAGGGGTTTTAGTTACGTGTGTGTGTGTGTGTGTGTGTGTGTGTGTGTAACAATAATAAACAG